AAAAAAAAAAAAAAAAAGAATACATGTAGACCAGATGCTGAGATCCTTAGCCTTTTTCCCACCCTCAGTAACCAAAATATTTTGGTACCAGCTTTTCTTCAGCTTCCCAACAGAAGACTAAAAGTCTTCTCTGGATAATCTGATCAGCCCAAGAGGAAAGAGCTCAGGATCCTAACATTAGAAATGCCCCCAAAATGAAAAGCTCAGTCAGAGCATCACAGAGTAAAGCTGAGAGCTGACAAGCCCACCCCTGAGTTCAGAACTTGCAAACAGCTTTAATCTCCCAGTCAAAATCTGAGATAATCGTTCAGGAGTTACCTAATATTTGAAGAAAGACTTTAACTTGAAGATAGTGACCAAGAGAAACACACAGAAAAACGTTACTTGGAAAAAAAAGCAGGGATAAGAAAACTTAGAAAGTAAGTAAATAAATGTCCTCTGAGCAATGAAACAATACATTGCAATCACAAAACAAGAACAGACTACTACAAAAAAGTACTCAGAAAATAAAAAACAGAACTCTTACATCCTAAAAATGTAATAGCAGAAGTGAAAGCCTCAATAGAAAAATGGGATGGTAACATTGAAGAACTCTCCAGAAAGTTAAGAGAAAAGAACAGAAAATGGAGAAGAGAAATGAAAGAAAAAAAATTTTTTGATTTCCCTGAGTAGAAGGATTCCCAAGTCTCCACACTGAAAGAAGCAACCAAGTGCCCACAGGACAGACGAAAAATAGACCCATCCTAAAGCATATTATTGTGAAATTTCAGAATACTGAGACCTAAGGGAAGATTCCTGTAAATTTCCTGAACTCACACAGAAAAGAACAGAAATCAGAAAGGCTTCAGGAGAAAAAGATCAAAGCGAACAAACAACAGTTATTCCATGGAAAAGTAAAAGTTGTACATGAAAAGTAGTAACATGTGGCTCAGTGGTGAATAAAACGTTTGGGGTCATTATAATGTAAACACTGAATGGTGAAGAATGACACTGGAAGGGAAAAGGAAAGAGGGAGCATGAAGCTGTCAGTCTATATTTTGTGTATCTTGCCCCTTAACCAATGTAAGTCCTTCTGTCAGTTTACTATAAACCTTCTAACACATTTCAAGATCTGAATCCTAATTGAGAATACCCTTGAAACTCTCTTTCAATTTGGTCCAGATTCCACTATCTGGCAAAGTGTTCTAAGAAACTAAAACCAGGTTGTGTCTAACTAAACAAGAAAATAACATCTCCCTTTCCAGTTCTTTTTATTTTTTTTAGTGGATTCCAAAAGAAAGAGACAAGTCCAGAGGCACTCAATCTTTCATATATACTGGGATGCAAATAATTCACTTTAATAAAAAATATGCAGTATATATGCTCATCATTTAAATTTCTGAAAACAAAAGAGCAATAAAAAAGACAACCACACACAATTCTATCACCCAGAAACAAACAGTATTAAAGGTGTTGTACATTTCTCAAACATATTTTTCTATGCAGTTATGTATTTTACATTTACATTCTACTTTTTTAACACTAGGTTATGAACATATCCATCATTAAAAAAAATCTTCATAAGCCTTTTTCATAGATGCTCAATATTCAATTCTGCAGACTTAATGAATTTACTTCCTAATAACACTGATTTTAAATACTTCCATTTTCCACCAGAATAAAGTACACTGAAATTAAAAACTACTACATTTAAATCCTTCTGCACATTTCTAGTTTCTTTTCAAAAGATTAGAGGTGGGATCAGATAGTTGCTGACAAATATAAGCCTCTGGATACAGCTCTTTCAGAATGAGTAAGAAAAAACATACTTTTTTTTTCCTAGGGACAACCTACCGATTAGCAAGTAAAACAAGCATGTGACACTGAATCCTGAATATTTTTAAAATGCTGTTCAGAACTGAAAACAAAATATAAAAGTACTTACTCAGACACACGAAGAATATTCTCTTTCCCTTCTTCAACAGAAATGCTGACAATGTCTTTCACATGTTCTACTGCAAGCAAAGCTCCTAAAAATGAGATGAAAAGATTTGTCTTTATAAACAATGTATTATTTAAAACTTGAATCATAAAGCAATGAGGATGACTCAACAAACCAATATTATGTCCTGCAAGGAGTAAAATTCTTTCCCAGAAGTGTGTAAAACAGAACGTATAGTCTTCTGATATGGAGAAATAATGAATCAGAAACCATTCACTGGTAAAGCCCAAGTGCTTTTTAATATGCTCAATTTCCATTTAGGGACACTGAAATAAATCTTCTTCTCCCTCCAGAGACAAGAAGAAATTATAATAGTGCTTTGCATAAAAGATATTGTTAAAGCATTTGAGTGGTTACTAGGCAATAGGCACTGTTACTAAATGTTTTACAGTCGTTATATTTAATTTCTGTAGTAACCTTAAGAGGTAGACACCTTTTATCTCCATTTTACAGAAGAGGAACTAAGGTTCAAAAGGGTTAAATAATTAGCAAAAGTCCTTGAATAAATAGTTAATAGTCAAGATTTGAATGCAGGTGGTGGGGAGCCCAGAATTTAGACTCTAAAAAACACAGTGTAATCTG